CTGCCGGCACTGGCCTCGCTGAGCGCTCTCGGGCCAGCGTCCCGGCCTCTTTAAAGGAGGCTTAGAACTGGACGCCGAGGCCCACCCAGGCCTCCCCGCTGCAGAGGAAGGGCTGGACACTGAGGTGCCCGACTCTGCTGCGCCAGGGTCTGTGGCTGTGACCGGTGTCCTGGTCCTCGCGGTCCCCGGGGCAGCCTGACCTTTTCCTGGGGACAGAGAGACCCGGGTCCACGCGCCCAGTCTCCTGCCGGGCCGGGCAGCCAGAGGCGGTGCCCGTCTGGCCCGAGTCTGTCCCCCACCGGTCAGCGCGTCCGTCCGTGTCCTGCCTCCTGTCAACCCCCCGCCCTCCCTCCCGATCTCAAGAGCGTCCCTCGACTGTGTGCGTCCCCTGGGCGCTCTGTCCACTGTCCCCGCGTCCGTGCGCCGCGTGTCCCGGAGCTCAGGGCTCCGCTGTGCCGGCTGGCCCAGCCCTGCCCGCCCTGGCGGCCTCCGTCCTCCTCCTGGCTGACCTGTGGGCGCCAGTGTGGACGGACCACGGCCCCTCGGGCTGGCCACGCCCGGTGACTGTCCACGGTGTCGCGCGAGCCCCGGGCAGGCGTGGCCTTTGAGCTGTGGGTCCCGCGCTGGGGGCCGGCGCCCAGCACGGAGCTGGCGCCTCCCTCCCGTTTCTGCCGCTCCGGGGAAGCCGAGGTGGCCGCGCCGCTTCGGTGCCCACAGTGAGCCGGGCGCCTGCTCCGCACCGCTCCAGCCGTCTGCTGGGCTCCCGTGGGCGCGAGGCGGCCTCTCCTGGCTTTGACCTGCGCCCCCCATAAGGGCGAGGATCTCCACCTGTTCACGCCGCTGACCTGGGGCTCCTGCCCCACTCTGCGCCCGCTGGCTAACTGGCGGCCCCCAGAGGTTCACCCCACCTCTGCTGCCTGTGGGGCGAGACCCCGGGAGGGGACGAGGCGAGGCCCCAGCTCCGTGGCCGTGTGGGCCGAGGGCCCCGGCACAGCTGGCTGAGCCTGGCTGCCCGACTGCTCCGGGGGGTCATCACACCGTGAAACAGGCCCAGACCCACTGTCCAGAGCTGTGGGACGAGCCACGCAATGCATGTGACATGCATGCGATGCCGGGGTGTCGTCTCGGCCCAGGGCCCCCAGGCAGAGACAGGAGGCGAGCGAGGCCCCAGCCCCCGCCCTGTGGCTCCCTGGATCTGCTTGCCCGCTCCTGGAAGTTCCCGGGGGGCCAGTTAGCCGCAGAAGCCCGGGTGCAGGTGAGACGACCCCAGCAGGACACAACTCCCCCAGGCTGCGCTGACCCGCGGCTCCTGCAGCGAGGATGAAGGCGGGCGCCGTGGCGG